CCGCAGGCTCAGGCAATCAATCCACTCACCTCAGCCTCCCAAAGACACGGGATTACAGGCTGAGCCATTGAGCCCAGCTGTCATACAGTTTTTAAAATTTTTATTTATTTTTGTTTTAGAGACAGGGTCTCATTCTGTTGCCCAGGCTGGCATGCAGTGGCATGATCAATAACTCACTGTAATCTCAAACTTCTGGGTTCAAGTGATCTTCCTGCCTCAGCCTCCCAGTATTTACTTCATACACATTGTTGTGTGGCTACATGGTTCATTCTTTTTACTGCTGAGTAGTTTTCCATTAAATAAATATATCAAAATTTCTTTATTCATTTTCTTGGCAGTGGACATTTGAGTTATCTATTTCAAATGAGGCTATAATGAATAATGCTGCTGTGAGCATTCTTGTATATATATTTTAATGGACAGATGTTTGCTATGCTTTTGAACTCTGTGGCTGTACAAGGAAGACTATTCAAAGTAAAAGGAACAGCAAGTGTGAAGTCCCTGAGACAGGAATGGGCTTGCCCTGCTGGAGGAGAGCTAGAGGCCTCCTGGCTGGAGCCCAGGAGTGGGCAGGAATGATAGGAGATGAGCTTGAAAGACTAAGGTTGGGGGTAAGGTGGGACAGAGGCCAGTTCTGCTGAGTTGTCTTTTCTTCTTTTTTTTTTCAGTCAGAGTCTCACTCTGTCATACAGTGCATGATGATGGCCTTGATCTCCTAGGCTCAGGTGATCCTTCAGTCTTAGCCTCCTACAGCCATATGCCACCATGCCTGGATAATTTTTTGACTTTTTTGTAGAGTCGAGGACTTACTATGTTGCCCAGGCTGGTCTCAAACTCCTGGGCTCAAGTAATCCTCCTGCCTCAGCTTCCCAAAGTGTGGGATTACAGGCATGAGACACCACACCTGGTCTCCTGCTGAATTTTCTATACTGAACTGGAGGTTGGATTTTACTCTGTAAACAGGAAGCCAGTACACAATGTGAGCAGGGGATTTCCTCTGTCTTTCTGCCTGGACTCACCTCCCTGCCCACTGGTACTCCACCCACCACCTTGCCCCTTCTACCTTACTTCTCTCCTGGGCTTCACCCTCAAATTCAGCCTGTTCCACATGAACTTTTCTCCCTCTGAAAGAGCTGCTACTCCCTCTACCCACCCACAGTGAGTGCCAATACCACCCACAGAAGCCTGACCCACAGGCCTGCTTCTTTGAACGGCTCTGCGTCTCTAGTGGAAACATCCCCAGGATCTCTCCTGCCCACTGCTCACTCAAGTCTTGACTGCTAAATGGCGACTCTGCCTTTGGTCTCACCCCTTACTGTCCTGTTTCTACATTAGCTGCCTGATTAATTTGTTAAAACTCACATATACTGTTACCAATTTCCAAAACTTTTCAGTGGTTCCCTGTAGTTTGTCATAAAACCCAAATCTCTCTTCACTCCCTACTTTTCCTCCAACTATTGTCAATCTGACACTATCCATTCCAGCAACTTTAAGTCATTTACTTAATCTCCTAACATTCTCCTCCCTAAGCCTTTGCACACACTTTTTTTTTTTTAATTGGAGTCTCACTCTGTTGCCCAGGCTGGAGCACAGTGGCACACTCACAGCCACCACAGCCTCGACCTGCTCGACTCCGGTGATCCTTTGCCTCAGCCTTCCAGGTAGCTGGAACTACAGACACATGCCACCAGGCCTGGCTAGTTTTTGTGATTTATCGTAGAAACGAGGTCTCACCAAGTTGCCCAGGCTGGTCTCAAACCCCTAAACAATCCTCTTGCCTCAGTCTCCCAAAGTGCTGGGATTACAGGCTGAGCCACCGCTCTTCACACACTTTCCTCTGCCTGGACAACTTCTTCCATCTGTCAAAAACCCAGTTTAAATGTCTCTCATCAGTCAATGCCTTTTCTGGGGATACCTTTCCCCTTCCTAATAGAACTGACCCTTTGTTTCTCTGAAACCCATGCAGGAATACATACACATGCCACTCCTGAGCCACTTTTGTTGCATTTGTTCCCTGTCATACTCCCTATACTGTGGATCCTCACAGGTCACAAACAAGTCTAACTTGCCTCGGACACCTCCACACCTAGCTCACATGCTAGACGCTCAATAAGTGCTCAAGTAGGATGGTGCATTAAAAGCCGATCTCCCACTGTGGTGCTGAGCATGAGAAGGCACCCAGCCCAGATCAGAACCTAGGAGGAGTGGAAACGAAGGTGGAGAAAAGAACAGAGAAAGGAGTGAGGAGGGCAGGGGTAAGGGTATAGGGGAGAGAGCAAAGAAGCCCTGGGTGAGGGTCACCCTCAACACAGGAGAGGAGGAGGCTGGAGAGCACCCCAAAGTGGTGTCAATGAGTCCTCCATGGGAGACCCTCCAGGGTCAGCAGAACTGGAAGCCAGGGGCAGTGCCCAGAACTCCCCTCTTTTTATCTTCTATGTCAGTGCTCTTGAGCAGTGGCTTAGAAAGGCAGTGGCCAAGGTTTCTTGGCCGTGATCCCTGTGCCCCTCAGGAAATACTGACACCAGGAAAAGTCACAAAACAGGTCGACGATCACCTGTGCGTCCATAAAGCTCTGCCATCTGGAAAGAGGTTTGGGAACAACCCCGGATGTTCTCAGCACAGGGCTTCCTAGATGAGGGCGGCGCTAAAACTCGGTTTCTCTTTTTTTTACTTTTTGAGCCGGAGTCTCCCTCTGTCGCCCAGGCTGGAGGGCAGTGGCACGCTCACGGCCACCGTAGCCTCGACCTGCTGGGCTCAGGCAATCCTTCCGCTTTAGCCTTCCAAGTAACTGGAACTACAGGTGGTCGCCACCACATCCGGCTCATTTTTTAATTTATTGTAGAAACGAGGTCTCGCCAAGTTGCCCAGGCTGGTCTCG